GAGTGTTGCCTTGTGACTTGTGGCTGGCAGTAAGCTATGCTTATGGTAATTTCTGCTTCTGCTCACGCAGACAGAATACTCCAAGGCTGCCTTTTGATGTAAAGTCAAGTAAGTAGGGTGCAGGGAGCTGTTGCATTCACCTTGAGACTAAAATTGTTACACATTACATCTGAGAGCGGTCAGTGGGGTTATTATAATGGTTTATTCAGTTTGGTTAGTGCTTTCATTCTCTTTTTTTTTTTTTTTAAATTCTGTATAGTTACTATATTTTATTATGATTTTTAATAATTGAAGGCTGGAATACACACCCAGAAGCTTGTCTGGTCTCTTTTTTCTTATACCAGCTGTTGTCATTTGGGGAAAACAATAACTTTGCATCATTTAACATTGTTAGAACATCACAGTTAGAACCTTATTACTGCATGAGACAGATGTGAGAAACCGAGTATAAGCTTTTTACATTTACTGTGCTTTTATACTGCTTTGGCAGATACCGCCTCTTCTATATGGTCTGAAAATATTTAACTGGTAGTACTTAATGAAGAGAAGGGAGCAGTAGGGTGCCTAACCTGTGGAAGGTGAGGGTCATTAAAAATCAAGAGTGTTCTGGTCAGGGGAATATTTGTTCTCTTAGCGGCTAGAGGAAGTGTCAGTGTCTTCAAATTAGCTAAAATCACATTGCTGCTTTGATGAAGTCTTGCTCTATTCCCCACAGAGGTGTGATACTTTGTGAGAGAGTTGGCTTAGTCATTAATAAAGTGCTCTTATGCCATTCTTAGGTGGTGAAAACAAGCAAGATATGTCTACTGGAGTTGGTAATTAATAAGGAATTAATATGAAAGATGTGCATTAGTATGAGACATATGAGCATGTGAAGATGTCCATGTATCGATGTAGTTTTGTGGGTTTTAACATGCTTCTTCAGGCAAAGTACTGGATGGGTCTTTAGCAGCTTACAACAGAGGCCTTCCAGCTTACCATAATTTAAGTGTGACATTCAGAAGGTATTGCCATTTTTTTCCCCAAATTCTGGGAGACCAACTGACCTGACCAAAGAGGCTGTCTCTTCTGTGTGAGGACAGAAGGAGTCTCTGCTCTGAGTGGTGGGAGAGGGGAGGGGTGGAACGTGTACAGTTTCTACGTGAACTAGGTCAAATTGGGTTTTTTCTGTTGTCTGGGTGCAATGCATAAGAGACACCTGTTTGTCATGAAAGGACAGAATTTACATGCCTGAATTCCTGTTGAATTGATTAACTGACAGTTTGAAATTGTTTGTTTAAGGTACCTAGATAAGTGTTTCACAAGTGTTTAATTTGTAATCTAAACAAAATGACACTGTGTGTCCAAAAAACACAGCTGTGATTTCCTGGTGAATTGGCAAACAACTATTGCTCAGTATGGTCCTTCCTTTGGCTGGTGGTATCAATCAATCCTGCTACTGTTATTTTCTCACCTTAAAAATGTTTATATAAAATCAAACCCTTCCTAAGCATAACAGACCTGTGTCTGTGGGAAACAGAATGAAAAATACAAATGTTTTAAGAACTGCTGTGTGTGCATGTTCACTTGGCAAGAAACTTAGTTTTTGTCTGGGTAATTGGAGATATTAATGTAACATCTTTTGAGAGAACAGTTCAGGCTTTTCATGAGTGTGAATATTGCTGCTGCCTTGTCAATTCGTTGGAAAAAAAGAAATTGAGATTTTTAAACTAAGAGAAAAAGAAATTTGAAACAGCTGACTTCTCCTTAGTTCTTCTCCTTATTTTGACTGGCTTGTTTTCAAATTAGCTTCATAATGGTAAGAGCTAGTTTCACATGGGAATTTTATGGATTTCTAAGATAAATTGGTGTTGGTCCAGTTTCTGGTGGGTGACTATGTTACAGAAGGCTTTGTTGTAGTTACTATGTTCTGTTATCAAACAGGTGAACATAAGCAAGATGGATGATAATGTATCATGTTTTACAGATAAAATGTTAATCATCAAAGTGGAAAACCATAGTGCACCGCTCGAAAACCACTCTGACTTCCTGGTTTTGTGTATACCCAAGGTAGACACAGCTGAGAAATAGGCAATATTACTATCATTAGATTGGTACAATGTTATGCTGTTAAAAGAAAATTTTGAAGCTCCTTAAGCTGTCTGGTGCTGTATAATAATAACAACGAGTATTTTTTTCTTCAGCTCGAGTTATGGCCACAGCTCTCTGCTGGTAGCTCTCTACGGCTTTTTTGTATTGCAGTGTCTTTAATTCCTGGGCTGGTAGGTGCTGCTTTCTGAACAGGATGGCTCTGCCTGGGTCACAGAGCACCAGTTACACTGGTGAAAATTGTGAAACTTGCCAAAATAAAGCAGAGTCCTGTATTGGTGAGGAAAGACATCTTTAAAGCTTACTGGTGTGTGTTTCAATGGTGAAGCTTGTTTCTTGGTTTATTAGTAGCGAGGCCTTGGGTAAATGTATAGCAATTCAGTTGGCAGCACATGCTAAGTTCCTGCCATGGAACAGGGTTGATTGCACAAATAATGAAGCTTTATCTTCAAAGAGCGGGAGGGTAAAGAGTACTGGCCATTTCTAAGCATTATCTTCCCTGGTTTTGACTTCCTCAAAGTGCAGCTTACTACCATATTTTAGTCTTTTGGGTAAATATGCATATACATGGAAATGAGCTTTTGCATATTGATATCTTGTATTGTTTTAACTCTAAATGTATTAATTAAGCTTGCATTTGCTTTCTCATTAATCTTATTTTTATTACAATGTTTCTTTTTACAAGCAATAGGGAAGAGAAGAACCACCCATTTATCTTAGAGCCTGGGAAAACTAGGTCTGTAGAGGTTTGATGTAAAATCCTTTAGGTAATATAACCTATATAGCTGACATGTTTTCTTCTCATTGTCTTTGTAATAAGCAGTTCAAGGAAGTCCTTGAATGTGCTCTGATATAGGGGTGTCACACAGAACTGAACTGCTACCCATCTGCTCTGATTGTGTTTATATTGCAAATTGTGTCACAGGAATTCAGACCCATATTAAAATATGGAGAGAAACATCAGAGAGGAGAGCAGGCAGGGATGCTTCCAAGCATAACTGAAATAAAGGCACCTGGGGACAGGACTAGGTATAATTTTGGAGCAGATCAACTCCAGTTATGCTTGACCTAGGAGAGGCAACCAAAAAATTTATGTTGTAATGCGAACTTTAACATTCATGAGCAATCTGTCCTCAAAGAAACAAAGGGCTAGGGCAGTTGGAAGGTAGACTGGACCATTAGGTTTCTCTTATTTTGTTCTTCTGTGTCTTCCGGTGTTCTGTGATGGTCTCCTGCTTTCTTTAGGAAAGCTGGCTATTTTTTGTTGTTGTTGTATTCAATTTTTTGTCCTAAACCACTTTCCAAAAGTGTCTTTCATATAAGTTTACTTGGATCTTGTGCAAGTTGCTAAACCCCTGGTGCTTGAAACCTAAACCCTACAAAAGTTTAGTTTTAGTTCTAGTTTTGGGAGGCTTATTTTTTGTTATGCTGATTGATGATAATAGCTGTGCCAACATGTAAAAACCCACTTAAATTCAGCTGGTCTACCTTTCAAGTAAACACTTACCTATAGAGCTTCAGAAGCAGAAACCCCTGTTTTACAGGTTTGCCTGTTATTCTAGAACTGGAGTATCTGTTAAGTGGCGTTTCCTTGCATGTTTCTCTGTAGACAGAAGTTTCTGGTCATGCAACTTGTCATATTAACTGTGTGCTTAACCGTCAGAAAAGGCACATGACGTAGCTGTCGAGACTGATAAATCCTTGTGTGAATTAAGGACTATTTGTGTTTTTTAAAAATCTGAACCCTTTGCCTAGTTCCCTCCAGTGAAATGCATTATCTACATGGGGAGTTCCTTACCACCCAGTGTGGCTGCTTCTTGAATGAGGAGCTGAATGTAACCAAGTCCTCATGAGAGATGACAACGTTCATTTTGTATTGCCTTGATATTAAAAAAAACCCACCCATAGAAACACTAGTTTTAACAGAGCAAAGTTTTAAACTCCTATTTATCATTTTTGTGTGTATACAGATTCCACAGTTGGTTTCTCTTTACTGTGAGCCTGGAGGCGAATCAAAGAAGCTTGTTTACATGTAAAACTAGTCATTAAGAGATGAGAACAAAGAGGTGAACACCCTAGATGGGAAGATCTCCCGTGTTGCCAGCTTATAGGAAAAGCTCATACTTTGTCACCAAAGTCTTTGACGCTGTAAGCTTCCTCAAGCCACCAGAGATAGTTTGAAGATGGAAAAATTGGTGGAGAAATACCATTACAAGTCTCTCTGGACATTGCAACAACAGGATCAACAACAACCTGGAGTTTCACTGCAAAGCTGTTATGACAGCAATTGTCAGTCATTTTGAAGAAACAAAGTGCTTTGCTCTTTGAAGGCTTTTAGGGAGTAGTTCTATTTCTGAGCTGTGAAGAAGACCCAATGAAGCAGGAAAGCTGACTTCATCTCTAGTAGTGGCTTCTCTATCTTCTTTATGTCTGTGTCAAGAACGAGCTCTTGATTTTCCTGGAAGAAGCTGTCCATATTCTACAAGGATATCTTGATTGTGTCAGAAGATGTGTGTTACATACCATTGTTGAATTCTGATTAGTTTTGATGCTCTTATTGCTTGTTTTTGTCTTGTTGAATTTGACAGGCTTCTTGAGAAATGTAGTCTGCAATGGTTAAATTACTTCTGGCTAGCAGATTTTGAAAGCTGCCCAGGCAGGGTGTGTTATAATTTCTGCCTTGCTTCCTGTTCTTTCAGGGGTCCTTTTCCATCATATGCTCTTGAGTTTGAAAAAAAGCGTGTGGTTTTTTTTTCTATTTTGATGAAATGGAGATGGTGTTTCTAGAATTCTTCAATGTGGTCTTCTGTTGTGCCCCTGTTTACCAATGCCAAGGAAAAAAAGTGGAGCAGTCCACATTCATGTCATGCTGCTCATGCCCAAAATGCTACTTTAAAGCTGACTGCTTTGTCTTTGCTCCTTTGCTGGCGAGTTTGTCCCATCAGCACTGTTAATGTGCTCAGGGAGTGCCCTGTCTTCAGGTAACGGCAGCTAGGGACTGGTGCTTCGGAATGCAGATGTTCACGTACCCACCTTCTTCAGAGTCTTTCCAATCAAACTCGCTTGATCTTGTTCAGACAGAAAATTAAATTCTGAATCCTCTGTGTTAGAATAGTAAGCAAGCATGATACTGCATCTTGTGGTAGACCATTTGGCAACGCAGCAGG